GATCAAGTTCTGAAGAAGAGTGCTTGCCTCCACCTTATCGCTTTTTGCAAAGCGCTGCTCAATTTCAGCAAGGAATTCTTTGGCACTTGTGATGTTTTCAGAAACAGTGCCCTTAAACACCTCCGGGATGCCACGCTTAATGATCATTAGACTCATGCGATTTGAGCGATCCCACTTCTCATAATCTCTTTTCTGTTCAGAGGTACTTGAATCCGTAGGAGTAGGGGGTTGCTTAGTCCTTAACGCAAGATCCATATCCATGCAACCAAGAACAATATCAATGTTCTCTTTCCAGTCCTTAAAATTTGTTCCATTGAGGACCGGAACAGAATTTAAATTGGCAGATACAGAAGCAATTGTAGCTGAATTTAGAACACGAGAAATAAACTAATTATGCTCACATTATATAAAAAATAAATAATATATATTCAAATAGTGGTTTAACTCATCTCAAGACACCCAATGCACCATCAATATCAAGTCTTTGGACAAGTAATATTAACTGCTAGAGGTATCTTGTTGTAATAATCAAACATTGACAATAAAGCACGTCCAACAACAAACCAGTCTTTGGATTGATTTATCATCGACAAAGCAAATCCTTATAATTATCACATGTTTATCATTACAAGTGTATATGCAATTCGGCCAAATATTAATCTTCCTTTGGGCCGACTAATACTCGCATGAATATACACAAACACTAACATTCAATATTTTTTATGAACTGCCCAATTCAAGAGAAGTTACTTTGGTGATTTCTTGACTCAATTTGCTCACAAAAAATATTAAACTACCAAAAATTGAATATTTTATTTATATAAGAAAACCAAATATTTAATATTTGCAAACTAATTCAAAAGAGAATAATCTCATTAGAATTCTACTAAGGATGAACATCTCCGTAAAATCTCATTAGGGATGAACACCTCATTTGAATAAATCAAAGGATGAAAAAAGACCTCATTTTCCACCAATACATAAAGGATGAACATCTCCCTAAAATCACACTAGGGATGAAACAAAGATAGTTCTGAGTCTCTTTAGCATACTGCTCTAAACCCTAAAAGGGGATTAAACAAGTAATCACTCAAACCCTAATTTAACATCAAATTTTCCTAAAAATAAGAACAATCACACCTGTGGAAACATTCACCATTTACCTAATATTCTCTGTGTTGGGAACTCCACAAACACCACCCCCAATTCCAAACCCATAAAATTAAATAAAAACAAAAGATAAAAAAAAAGAACAAAGAACCCAATAAAAAAAGATTGAAATTTGAAACATTGTTTCTTTCTCAGTAAAACTTGAAACTTAAACCGAAATAAAAGGGAAAACCGAAGAAGAAGAAGAATCCATAGCTTCCTCCACGATTCCATCAGCAAGCAGAATCAGATTGGGGATATTACCCCCAAATTTAAATTTTAGGGTTTACGAAAATTAGAGATTATTCTCCACTTAGGGTTCATAAAATTGGGTAATTTGAATTGTTTAAAACAAAATTAATCCTAATTTTCATAATTAGGGTTCTATAAATTAAACAGACATGAATCAAATATGGGCGGCTCTGATACCAATTGTTGGAAAAACAATAATAAAATAATAATAATAATAATAATAATAATAATCCTGATTTTGATTCTAACGATCAAACATAAACATAATCCCATACTGATAAACATGTTGTAAACTAAATGCGAAAGCGTACCTGAATGCGAAAGCGTACCTGAATTAGTCATAACGATGATGTCTTTATAAAACACTATATTGATCTTATGGTCTTCCACCTGAAGAGCACCTGTATTTCCCTCTTGATTTTCTCTCTTGATGGGGATAAAAAGAAAGGAATGGGACTGATTCTGTGTGTGTGCTCCCAGAAGGGGACCATGACCCTTTAGATAACCAGAATTATGTTAATTACTTAAGTTTTAGTATTTCCAATTTGGCCCCTCATCAAATTAGAAATTGCTCTATGGTCTCTACACAATTTTATTTTCATGACATATGCCTTTAGCCAAAACTTTAATTTAGTCAGATAACTTTATTATTTGGCTTAATAAATAATGGCCCTAACACATTTAAATTATGTATCATATATATACATGACCCAAATTTTACCAACAATTATCACGCATGATTTCAACTTTATTCTTCTCCTTGATTGCAATTTGTTCTAACTCTATGCTAAGCCAAACACACTAACAGACACATAGAGTTGTTGCTATATATTCTGCTTCCGTTGTGGGCAATGTTACTATATTTTGTTTCTTGACTGCTTAAGAAACTGTCCCTATTCCTAGCATAATAAACACATATCTAGACATATTTTTCTTATCATCCAAGTCATCAACATAGTCACTATCTATAAAAGCTAGTAATTTTAAGTTGTTAGTTCCCCCTTTTGTATCAGATTCCAAAAGTGGATGTGCCTTTTATATATCATTGAACCCTTCTTATTATCGTATACATCAAATCAGGCCTGATAGCAATTAAATACATCATATTTCCAATTAGTTGTTTAAATAATGTTTCTTCAACGCCCTTCTTTCCTGTGTCTTTTGACAGTCGTGTTCCTGACATCATTGGATTATTCACAGGTTTGTTGTCCTACATTCCAAAGTGTGATAACACCTCCTGTGCATATCTTCTTTGACAAACAAATATTCCATTTCAATATTGTTTAACCTCAACTCCAAGAAAATGACTCATTTTTCCATACCAAACATGTCAAAATGTAACATCATGGACTGCTAAAACTTCTCACACATAGCTCCATCATTTCTAGTGAATATTAAATCATCAACATATAGGCTAACAATTAATATTTTACCTCCCTGTGATCAGGTGAAGGGTGTGTGCTCACTAGGAAATTTTTCAAACTTTTCTTAAGCAAAGTAGGCGTGAATTTTCTTGTACTAGGCTCGAGGAGCTTGTTTGAGGTCATACAATGCTTTCGTTAATCGATATACTTTCTTTTCTTCTCCTTTCTTAACATAACCTTTAGGTTGTATAACAAAAACATCTTCTTTGAGTGCTCCATGAAGAAAGACACTCTTCACATAAAATTGAAATACCTCTCAATTGAATTGAGCAACTGTGGCCAAAATCAACCGTATGGTATCTAGTCTGGCCACTGGAGCAAAAACTTAAGTGTAGTCGATTCCATGCCTTTGTGCATATCCTTTTGTTACGAGTCTTTTTTTTTTCATTTTCCCGTATGCACTCAATTTGGTTTTAAACACCCATTTAACTCCAATGGGTATGACTCCATCCGGTAGCACAGTGAGTTTCCATGTGTGATTCCTTTCTATAACTTTCATTTGAGTCCCTGCCACGACCTCCTCAAAATGTACCACGTCCTCGGCCTCTGCTAGGCTACTCTTCTTGAGTAATTATGCTATTGGTGTCTTCATGGGTTACCTTCAGCATATGTTCCTCCTCCTGTGTTCGCTGCATTCTTTGCTCATGTACGAGTAAACTCTCGTGTAGCTCATCAATAGTCAACACACTGGTATCATTAGATTCTTCTATAACACACACCTCATAGTTAAATTTGGGTGTGAGGGAGCGCAAAATTTTGCTCGCAAATGTACTTTGCTTCGTGATTTCTCCATTGAATTTCATTTTTCTGCCCACAATCAATGTTCGTCCCAAAAAGTTGTCAATCTTTTCACCTTCCTTCATAAAGAGCAATTCAAACTCCTTCACAAGGTTTGGAGTTGTGCACTCTTAACTCTTGTGAAACCCTTATACTTTTGTTTCATGGAATTCCAAATAATTTGTGATGTCACTTTGTTAAGAATTGTTTTCCATAATCTCCCTGTCAATCGCTTGGAATAAGAAATTATTTATTTTTAAATCTTTGAGTTTGTCATCATCTACGACCCTTTTCTGCTCCTCACTTCTCGATCCAGATCTAGTTGATGGTGTTGGAATACCATCTTCCACCAAGCTATATGAAAATTCTACATTATCATAAACCAAAAATCATAATCACTATCAAATTTGGGACTATCTGATTGCACAAATTATTAAAGGTTGAAATTTTGGATAAAGGACAAAGATATTATACATAAATTAACTTCCCACTGGATGAGAAGTGAGAATATACACGTTGTTATATAGGAATCACATAAGCACTCACATGTAATTTATTATTTTAACCCCCTGAAACTTAATGAACATTTAATATATTTACTTGTATATTTACAATTTTATCCTCTCAGCCCCTCCTTAATTTTGTAACTCTTATATAATTTATGATTTTGTCCCCCTTAAATTTAATGATCATTTAATATATTTAAGTATATATCTATAATTTTATCCTTTTATCATTTCATTTTTTTTATATTTATTTATTATTTATTAATAATATATTATTTGACCCTCTCAATAGTAATCATCACTTTCAATGTATGTTTTTACAAAATAGTAGCTACAATATGCACAAATACTTAAAACAACAAAAAGTAAAACAAAACAATAATAAAACCTGACAAAAAAACATAATTATATGTAAATCACTAAAGAGATAAAAGTTAATTACACAGAAATATTACATCAGATAATCAATTATATATATATATATATATATATATATATATATATATATATATTAAACACTTGTACCCAATCAGTTTATAAATAAATTATAATGAATTATGCAACAATAAACACTATTTAAACACGGAACCAAATTTATTAGTGTGATTAAAATATAATTATAATAAAAAAGTAATTTTCATTCCATAATAATTTCAACTTTCTTTTTTTTCCTTCTTCTAAATTATTATTAACCCTTACTTTAAAACATATTACCTCACAATGGGGGGCAGGGGGTACGCAGAAGTTTCTTACGTCACTTCAGGCTGAGGTTTCAACTGGTTCAAGAGTCCGGTAGCTTTTATCGATGAATTTTCGCTTTTGCTTCATTAATTTTAACAGCATGTAGACTTTTATTTCTTTGAAATTTTCAGGTCATAGTATCTGTTCCACAATGTTTTCTCTCAGATCAACTGAAAGAGGTAATATTCATACAGTTTTTATCATAAATTTCAGCCTTTGGTGCTCTTTCATGCCTTAACTTCTTCTCATAACTATTCATGCAATGCACCTTTATTTTTTGCCCTATATTTGTTTATTAATACTTTTATTTGACAATCCAACAAAACCGAGTGCATGCACGCCAAAATAGCGTTTTGATTATATCAACTGTTAAGTATAGTGTATCTGCTTTCCTTAGCGTGTAAATCTGATACCCAAAGATGAAACTTTCTTTGTTGGGGATGGTGAAGAGAATTTGCTTCATGTTGTTATTTTTAATAGGATAAATTACTCATCTTTCCCTAAATTATTTCAGAATTTTTTTTAACTGGTCTTTAAATCAAATGACTCAAAAAATAATTTTACTGTAAAAAAGTTAATTAGGTTTCTAAACTAAAAGTAGGTCCATACAGTTTATTTAGAACCCTTTGAACCAGCTAAAACATATGATCTGTAATTGTTTTGAAAAGGTTAAATGCCTCAATAAGTCTATGAACTATTTTTGAATTTTCAAATAGGTCTTTACATCATTATTTTTTAATTAGATTCCTAATCAGGTAATTTTTTTGAGTCCCTAAAATTTCTAAAGATACTACAAATTATCATTTTGTGTCAGTTTTAAGTAATCAAAAAAAGTAATCCAAGTTCCGAATCAACTCATTAATTTAGCATTTTAAATATCGAATTTTTTTAATTATTAAATACACAGGCATTCCTATAAAGGTTTTGGTGGATGCTGTGGGTTCTAAACAGGATAGTATTATCATGTCCCTTAACATAAAGTCATAAACATCCTTCTATGGCAAAATTTGATCTCAGAGCAGAGCCTTCCACTCCCTGAGGGAAACTTTTTTGTAAGAAAGAAAAACAAGAAGGAAAATGAAATTAATGTAACTTGTAAACTAAAATTATAACTTGTACCTGAATAAAAATAAGATTTTGAAAAAATTAATAGAAAACAATTTCTACAAATAACTCTAACATAAACTAATTTTCATATATAAAGAAACTGATATATTTATCCTTTTTTATTTCTTTTGTGATGTTTATACCAGTTTAGCGTTTCTTAAAAATTTTAGACGTGCTTGTGGCAATAATATAGTTGCATAAATAAACACCTGATTAGATATTGTATTCTAGGAAAATAATGTTTGGATCTCTTTCCAAAGTCTCTTAAGTTTTGATTTAGAAGAAAACATGCTCTTAAAGCCAGGCTGATAAGAGGACAGATTAGATTCTTAGCGTGCAACTCTTTTAGCATTTTCTTAGTCACCTTTCTAACGCATTCTTACCTAGTTTACTATTCACAAATCATGATCTAAAAATAGTCCTTTCCAATTTATAATTTGAATCTTGAAAGCAGAACACTATTGATACCTTGATAAGTACTTCAATTAACTGGTTAAGCAAAACATGTCAAAACGCCAAATCCCTTGCCTTGCTGAATGATGTGTTTGCTTGACTTAGATCATTATCAGTAATCCATTTTAAATTGTTTTCCTTCTATGATTGCTGATTTTTCTAAGTCTTTTATATCAAAGTTGCAAACTGGAGTTCATCTTAGTCTTTTGTACTAGTCAACCAACACTTTGGAAAAATAACCATGATTAGAGGGATAGTGATCCAGGAAGCCATTTATGTTACATGCGTGAATCTTATTTGTAGAGATATGAAAGATTTATCACTAAATTTTTTTATGCAGTGGCTAGTGGTAGAGTTGCATTAGAAAATGAAGTCCCATTACAACTGCTGCCTGATCTTACAACAAATTTGCAATGGGATGAGGTTAAACCACTTTCAGGAAAACTATACTGGCATACTGTTCTTGCACGTTCAAATCTCCATTCCCGTTATTATATGGTAATTTCATTTTTTATTTTACAGACCCCATATCCTATTTCATTCCATTTTAGTATGAAAGAAAGAAGAGATAAAGAAGCCAAATGACTATAACTTGGTCTAATAGCACTCTTCCTTCCTACTTTTAGAAGTGGGGATTAATTTAAGATCATGACTATCAATATTTTATACTCTTCTTTCACACACTATACATAGGAGAATATTTTAAATATTTTATTTGTTTGTAATAGTGGCCTCCTACCAACGTACGGTTAAAACTTCCTTCATGTGAGGTCCCCACCACTCTCACTTGTAAGGGCAAGAGCTGGGACATGGTGTATTGTGGACAAAACAAACAGCAGGTTTTCAATGTTGCAGGCTGGAAAAAATTTGCCGTTGAAAATTGTTTGAGGATTGGAGATGCATGCATTTTTGAGCTCATGGAAAGCAGTGACAAAAAAGTCATCTTTGAAGTTCAAATTCTTAGAGGGGACATCCCATCCGAAATTCTTGAAAATGAAATGATCACGGGTCTGAGTCGGGAAATGCCAATTGTCCTTAACTAGTATTCTAACCATCTAATGCATTTGATTTTCCTTTTCATTCTGAGATGGTTAAAGACTTGGGGTTATTGGATATCTTTTCTTGTGAGTAGGTTAGTGAATGGATTTAGTCGCTGCCACAACTTGTAAAGTTTTGTGCTATGTTCCATGTCTAAATACTATAATTAGTAGGCTAACATTGAATGCTATTTTGTTGATTTACTCTGGGTTGTGTTACTTGTTAGATTGATTATGTGAGGGGTAGATATAGGACAGGTCCCTTTAAACTTTTACTGTACAGTGAGTCTTGTATGGTTTTAAAGGACAAATCGTTTTTTTTTTCTTTCAGATAAACCCTCAATATCTTTATAATAAGCTGATTTGAGCTCAGTACACTACTGAGGATAGAAGAGTAACATATAATAATTTCCCTTCTTTTATACTTTTATTACATAATGGTGGAACTATGCTATCATTTTGACCCTGTTCCAAGAAGAGTCCTGTATTCGGATAGACATATTGAGCCCCCAGACTAATTTGATGCAAACTAAAGTTGCTTTTGCGAAAATTAAAATAAATACAATAATAAAAGCATGTCTCAAATCAAAATTATTTGTTTCTAAAATAATGTTAACAAAAAATACTTTATTTAAGCCAAGGATTTCATACTTAACCTACTTTAAGGAGTTAAGTTCTAAACCATAAATCACTTTATTTATAACTCACTTTTAATCAAGATCACTTAAAATCAATTTAAAACATTTAAGCATACCTACACTAAAGCGGTGAATGCTCGTTCAATGCTACCTTAATCTCCAATCAATATTAACGATCTTCGAATATACAGACAACATTAGCGCTAGTAAGGAACTTCAATGTTCTTGTGATCATATAATAATTACCTGAGCAACAACCCTTTGTCTCTATTACAAACACGGACCAAGATTAAGCTTAAGCAATGCTCAACTATCATGTAATGAAGATAAACTTCCATTTCAAGTCTAAAGTACATTCCCTAAGGACCTTACAAAAATAATAGACGCGTTGTTCTTCAGGTGAAGCCAGGAATTTCTCCAGGCATTGGAGCTAATTCATTCTTGCTAAACTTCTCCTCATCATAAAATGAGGCACGCACCACTCTACCCCCAAAATATCGACCATCGAGGTCAATAAGCGCTTTAGTTGTTTCTTCGGATCTCTCAAATTGCACAAAAATTCTTACTGCTTCATCAGAGGGGAAATTTGGTTCTGTTATCTCAAATATAAGAACTCGGGTTACAGTTCCATATTTGGCACATTCTGATCCTACCTCATCTTCCAGCTCGTCGTCTACCTCACCAGGACCCACCTTCAACAAGAAAAAACAGTGAGTCATCTGTGATCAATTAAACTAGAACAACCCCATATCCATTTTAGGATGAGCTTATGCAATCACTGTTGAGATTTCACGGCATAGATAAACCAGTTAGACATCAAAGTATGCAGATATGCATAAATTAAAGTGAATTATTTGGGTAAATTTCTTCATAAGTATTTGAAAGAAAGAAAACAAGAACGTAAATTAATTGAATCTTTTAACAAGTGAAAACCAACTTATGTGCTTGTACGAACTGTCTCTTCTAACTTCTCTAAAAGCCAAGGTGCGTAAGTTGATTTTAACAACTTATGGGTGGAAACTCAATTCATTTTACCTTTTTATTTTCTCCTCTTATAAATAAAAGTTCATAGACAAATTTATTCAAACAAAACCCAAGTATAATTTCAAGATAAATGCACCATCTAGGGTCTCTTGTGAACACACAGACTCGTGAAGGAAATCATAACTACTGCATCAACTACAACTCAATGTAAAACGCTGCAACCATTTCAATTTTTGGGATTGGAAAGCTCTTCGGTACAGATGTTTGCGTCACAGTTTTTTAATTTTGCCTTTTTATGGGGGTCGGGCTTGTGAGAACTATAACTTACCCCTTTCTCAGGACGTACTTCAAAGACAAGTGTTGATCAATATCAACATAAAACATGATCAAATCAACACATCAACCTGATTGGTTAACTTTTAGTGATTAAATCCTAGGACTTTGTAATGTGGAAAAAAATGATGCACACCAATATGTTTTAAAATCCAGTATCCAGACAGTCTACAACAGATACAAACTATGAATGGAGCAAGTCCAGAAATATTTTATCAAACACTACAGTGCATGCACAAAGTTAAAAATGAGTTCAGTAAAAACCAAGGTCATTACCTAAACTTTCCAAAAGAACGAAAAAGAACATAAACAACTATAAACAGATACAGAGAAATTTAAATTACATCAAAATATTATAACACGAACCTCCCCTCCTAGGTCCCATCTCAAAAACATGTTCTAAAAATATACATTTAGCTTATATCCAAAGCTAAAACAATGAGAATAAGTGCAAAGAAGCAAATATCCCTACAATAATACATGTATAGACTAAAGCCAATTCAAATACACCAACTAGTTACCCACACTTAAGACTGAAAGTCTGAAATAATCCTACTTAAAATATGGAAATACAGGCATAACCTATCCAGCAATAACATGTCCTATTACCCATCTCCTAAACCCTAATTCACAATTTACAATTACATCATAAATTAAAAACTAGATATATTATCCCCTCAAACAGTATTAACATTATCGTCATAATACTTGAGAGCAGGAAACTTGAGAAACAAGCTACTTATTTACCATGGAAGTAAAAAGGGATTAACCAAGATGCATCAAGCTAATTAATCAGCAAACTAACCGAGCTAAATACACCATAAGCTGGGGCATTGCGGATGATCCAACACTTAAAAAGACAGTAAGATACAGAAAAGAACATCACTATCAATTTCAATGACAAAAGAAATAATGAATATGTATCATAGAGGTATGCTTCTCAGCTAAAAAAAGGATGATGTTTGCCAACATGTTATCAATGAAAATTATATTAGAATTTTAATAACGAATGTTTAAAGGAAAGAATGTCAATGATTTAATAAGGTTTTTAACTAGTTCCTATTTTGCCAACATGTTATCAATGAAAATTATATTAGAATTTTAATAACGAATGTTTAAAGGAAAGAATGTCAATGATTTAATAAGGTTAGTTCCTATTCATTGCATAAGTCAAGACTTAATACACAAATTCTTGACAACTAACTAGAATGAACTTCTTTCATGCTTTAGAGGAAGCATGAACACTAGGGCTTAAAACTAAAACAATTGCTTGTTCAAGGAGTGCAGACTGCACAGCATACTCTCACTCATGCAATCACTTAGACAGTACAAAATACCAATAGACAATAAAGAAGCATAGATACACAATTCCTATTCCATTCTTTCTAAACTTCTTTTAGTAAACAAACTTCAAAATTCAAATATACATCCATTCTGATTTTTTTTTCTTGCCTTCATATTTATCCACCTACCTCACCTAGTGGTCTAAGACTAATGTAACATTCTCATCTCTTCTACACTAATTCAGTTATTATTTAATTTTGTTCACACTACTCAACATTCACCATCATAAAACATTTCTGGCCCTACAGTAGTCAGGATAACTTTCCTCAGTTTGAAAGTCACTTTACGATCTCAAATGACACAAAAAATATTTCGTCCCCAAACTAGAGCCTACATGTGAAAGATGGGTACATGATTACATAAACCATGCAACTTGTTTATAATGTCATTCCCAATTTACACCTTTAAAATATTAAAACTGGCATCTTAATGAACTTCTGTTCCATACACATTCTCTTTTACGTTCTTAATTAAAACCCTACACTCTATGTTGCTAGGCTAACCCCACCACTCAAATTTAGAATCTACCCCTACTCTAGGCTAATCAACTAAAAATATATCATGCTCAAGAAGCATGCATCAAAACAACAGATAGGACCACTTTTTGCACAATACCACACTTTATTTCAAGCCTGTCATCTGTTGTATTCCTAAAACCTTAAGTGAAACATTATATCATCGAAAGTGGCACCAAGCGTTTATAGATTAAATGTCTGCCCTACATTCTAAAAGCACATTGGATCTACCTTACCACTCGGCCATGTCGCCAATAAACATATATATGAAGTAGATGAGAATACCCCCCTTTTTTTTCTATTGAAAAATTGAAAAACAATTTTGAGACAAATCGCAACCGTTAATTATGAATTTATGAATTATTCTTGAATATTTGAATCTAAAATGGTTTTTTTCTTAATGAGATCAGAAAATAAAAATTGATACATAACCAATCAATATTGCTTTTTTATTAAAAAACTTTGTTCAAGTATTTACAGTAACCTGTAACAGCCACTTGTCAATGGGTGTTTATATTTAACATAGTTATGTTGGGCCATATAGGCTGTATTGACGATTTGAAGGCTCATTTAGCAGCCAATATACAAATCTGGCAATGGCTACGGCAATGTGTTTTTTCTCTAGTTGCAAAATTGCCGCAGTTTGATTCTTTCTCACCATGACTACTGATCAGATCCAGCATTGACTTCTTTATTATATTATCTTGACCAAAAAAAAAAGCTTTCCCAATAATTTATAAGAGAAAGTTTACATGGAGCAACCTCCTAGCTTTATTATGGGGAAAATCTAAATTGCTTCATGAATCATTGTACAGACACAAAAGCAGTTCCCTTGAGTTTTGGTTTGTTCACTAATAAATGTTATTCAAGCATATGACATGCTCATGTTAATGTCGTTAATTTAGTTTTCTATCTGCATCAACCTTGTTTATATGGATGGCATCTACCTTATTTCTATACCTTAAAGTGTAGCAATTGTTGGTGTAGCATTTGCATTCTAAATCTCAAAAACATCACCAGAAAAACAAAGGTAGAACATTTAATATGAACATGGTTATCAAACTCACATGCTCACACAGACCTGCACGAGTTTACATGCCCATGATGACACAACTGTTTAACTCTGTTGCAGAATCATATTTGAACAAGCTCAAGTCAACTCAACTCAGATATACTTGTTCAAACTCCCGTGTTTGGGTATGAGATGACAAGCTCATGAGGGCTGAAATTTCTAGCACAAAACAGTCATTATTGATGTCATTTGAGTCTCACAAACACAAAAAAAGAACATTAAAAAACTTTGTTCAAGTATTTACAGTAACCTGTAACAGCCACTTGTCAATGGGTGTTTATATTTAACATAGTTATGTTGGGCCATATAGGCTGTATTGACGATTTGAAGGCTCATTTAGCAGCCAATATACAAATCTGGCAATGGCTACGGCAATGTGTTTTTTCTCTAGTTGCAAAATTGCCGCAGTTTGATTCTTTCTCACCATGACTACTGATCAGATCCAGCATTGACTTCTTTATTATATTATCTTGACCAAAAAAAAAAGCTTTCCCAATAATTTATAAGAGAAAGTTTACATGGAGCAACCTCCTAGCTTTATTATGGGGAAAATCTAAATTGCTTCATGAATCATTGTACAGACACAAAAGCAGTTCCCTTGAGTTTTGGTTTGTTCACTAATAAATGTTATTCAAGCATATGACATGCTCATGTTAATGTCGTTAATTTAGTTTTCTATCTGCATCAACCTTGTTTATATGGATGGCATCTACCTTATTTCTATACCTTAAAGTGTAGCAATTGTTGGTGTAGCATTTGCATGCTAAATCTCAAAAACATCACCAGAAAAACAAAGGTAGAACATTTAATATGAACATGGTTATCAAACTCACATGCTCACACAGACCTGGACGAGTTTACATGCCCATGATGACACAACTGTTTAACTCTGTTGCAGAATCATATTTGAACAAGCTCAAGTCAACTCAACTCAGATATACTTGTTCAAACTCCCGTGTTTGGGTATGAGATGACAAGCTCATGAGGGCTGAAATTTCTAGCACAAAACAGTCATTATTGATGTCATTTGAGTCTCACAAACACAAAAAAAGAACATTAAGGCTCATTCTCAGTCTTCATCCTTCTCTTCCAATCTCATGGTTCTTTGATTTCTATCTATTTCATCTCTGATAAAACAGAATTGCAAACGGCTCACAGCCCTGTTTTTTGTCTATCTCTGTTTCGTCAATATTTACATGTTTAAGAAATGCTGAAATTTTCAGAGTATTAATTTCAAGTTTCAGCATTTCAAATCTTGGGAATTGGCAGTATATTCCGGAATTACCTTGCAATGTTTACAGTATACGAAATTGGGGAATTGGGAGTATATTTCAGTATAACTTTGGTATTTTAAATTGAGTAAACTCTAGCAAATTTACGAGTCAAGGCCTCCATAAGTTTTTACTAAATTCTCGAGCTTGACAGCCTTGAATTTGTATATAAGTAAAACAAAATTCTATATACTAAAGCAGACTGATCAGCAGAACGAAAACCTAATAAAAAGCTGGACGCATTCAATTTGACAAGTTAAATATTATAATAAGCTCCGCGAACCATAGCTCATAGCATTAAATCCATCACTCATCAAGATTACTAAAAGCACATCCATCACCTGACCAAGCCAAAACATCACAAGGCCCGATCGCGTGCAAAATAACAAATTAACCCGTGATATTTTCAAACCAAAACTACATATCACGCAGACAGAAATCTACAACATCACAACTAACAAAATTGTGAAAATTTCACCCAATCTAAAGTTAACACAAGACGGTTCATCTAAGGCAGCAACATTCAATGAAATTGACAACAATCAAGTAGAGAATCAACCATAACACAAGCTCACAAATTTCCTCATAAAACACAACCCTGACTGAGTAACTTTCAACATCACTAAAGATCTATATTTCATAGCACTTGAATGAAATTAATATAATTACACAAACAAGCACTTAAACATGCCAAAACACACCCAACAAACAGATGTAACATACCATGTTCCTAAGCAGCAGCACCTTGGTAGGCACTCCATTGAAGTTAACACTCTTAACTTTCTTGCTGTTATCACTAGCATTCACAATAACCCCAGCTCTTCTATCCGTTTTCTTTGCCATCAAAGGAGTGGTAATCCCCTGCTCCTGCTTCCCAAGCCCCTGCCCCTCCTTCCACCCCATCTTTGCCATCATCCTCTGCGCCGCCGTCATCTGCCCACCCGCCCCCACTCCCAACCCTCCCGTCTCCGACTTCCCAATGCTAAATCCGTCCGAATTCCCCGTCGGCGGCGGCGACGGCGACCTCGGCACTGCCCCACTCATCGCTGCGCGCCTCCTCCATGCCTCCTCGCCGGAAACATTCAACCTCGAATCACTGAAATCCCTTTCTCGCTCTCGTTCCTTCTCGCGCTCCCTCTCTTCGTCCTCCTCCTCCTGGCGGCGGCGCTCGAGCTCGCGCAGCATCTCGGCCTCTCGGGCCTTGCGCTTGCGGTCGCGGCGGTACTCCTCGTAGTCGTTTGGGCGGGCCGGGTCGTACTCCTCAAGGACGGTGGACTGGACACCGACGAGGGCGGGCTGGAGGGCGTCGTCGGGAGGAGGGGCGGGCGTGGGGGAGAGAAGGGCCTTAGGGTTGGCGACAATGGGCTTGGGCTTGGGCTGGGTTCGGAGAAGGGTTTGCGGAGGCGCGAAGAGCGAGGCGGGCTTGCGGAGCGTGGCGGGGGCCATCTTGGTGCTGGAAGACCACACATTGGGAGTAGGTTTGTTGTCTTCCTCCGCAGACGAAGGTGGAGGAAGGTCTCCGTATAAACCACCCAACATTTGAATATTGAAAATTGAACCCAAACCAAAAACCGATTCGTCGATTCCACTATCAATTCAGACGGGAATCAATAAAAGAAAGATAACCGCGACAATGAATAGTGGGTGTGGGCTTTGATTAGGGATTGGTTCATGACACCAACACGGAACAAAACATTACACGCCGCGGCCAAATACTGGTAACCGCTGAGTGAGCTCGATGGCACCAATGAGTCGATGGGTCACCGTTGCGCACTCCTCGATCGCGTCGTGGCGGAGTGATTTATTAACGCTAGTTTCTTTTTTCAATAGTAAATTTAAGAAAGTTTTAATTTAATCTTATAATTTAAATAAATTAAAATTCAATTTTAAAATAATCTTAATACACCCTCTCTCTTAATCCACTTATAAATATTTTAAAAACAAAATTAGATTAAAAATATAAAATAAATAATAAAAATTAACCTAATAAAAAATATTAATAGATATAAAATTGCTTTACTTGTATTAAAGTTTAAAAATGGACAATATTTTATATATAAAATTTGATTTTAATAATATTATCATAATATAATAAAAATAAGGGTGTGATACATTCATTCAGAATTGGTTTAGGAAAATGAAATTTGTTATTATTAAAAAATGAATGTAAAGCACACTTGAATAAAAATAATAATAATATATACTTTGAGTATTTGTATTGGAGAAATCTAAATAGGAAACATTTTTAAAAAATAACTTTAAATTTGATTGATTCTAAAGATTTTTAGGAACATGGGCTGGTTTTCAAGATTTTTTTTTTCCTTTATAAAGTTTTGAAACTTCTAATTTGGATCATAATTCGTTGGTAGTAAAGTCAATTGAGATGATGGGTAGAAATATGAGGGTGGTTTTGAAGAAAAAATAAAATTGATGTAGAGTAAAAAAAATACATGGATCATTATCAACTTTCTTTTATTATTTCAATTTTAGTCTTTGAGTCTTATTATCTCTTTTCATTTGATATGAGTGTTGGCAAATTTTGGGTCATGTATATATATGATACATATTTAAATGTGTTAGGGTCATTATTTATTAAGCCAAATAATAAAGTGATCTGACTAAATTAAAGTTTTGGCTAATAGCATATGTCATGAAAATAAAATTGTGTAGAGACCATAGAGCAATTTCTAATTTGATGAGGGGCCAAATTGGAAATACTAAAACTTAAGTAATTAACCTAATTCTGGTTATCTAAAGGGTCATGGTCCCCTTATGAGAGCACACACAGAACGTAAGTATCAGTCTCGTTCCTTTCTTTTTATCCCCATCAAGAGAGAAAATCAAGAGGGAAATACAGGTGCTCTTCAGGTGGAAGACCATAAGATCAATATAGTGTTCTACAAAGACATCATCGTTATGGCTAATTCAGGTACGCTTTCGCATTCAGTTTACAGCATGTTTATCAGTATGGGATTATGTTTATGTTTGATCGTTAGAATCAAAATTAGGATTATTATTATTATTATTATTAATTTTCCAACAATTTGTATCAGAGCCGCCCATATTTGATTCATGTCTGTTTAATTTATAGAACCCTAATTATGAAAATTAGGATTAATTTTGTTTTAAACAATTCAGATTACCCAATTTTATGAACCCTAAGTGGAGGATAATCTCTAATTTTTGTGAACCCTAAAATTTAAATTTGGGGGTAACATCCCCAATCTGATTCTGCTTGCTGATGGAACCGTGGAGGAAGCTATGGATCCTTCTTCTTCTTCGTTTTTCACTTTTGTTTCAGTTTAAGTTTCAAGTTTTACTGAGAAAGAAACAGTGTTTCATATTTCAATTTTTCTTGTATTGAGTTCTCTGTTCTTTTTTTGAATCTTTTGTTTTTATTTAATTTTGTGGGTTTGGAATTGGGGGTGGTGTTTGTGGAGTTCCCAATACAGAGAATCTTAGGTAAATGATGAATGTTTCCACATGTTTAGCTGTTATTATTTTATTGCCTCTATCCCCTAGGAATTTAAAGAAAATTTGATGTTAAATTAGGGTCTGAGTGATTACTGTTTAATTCCCTTTTAGGGTTTAGAGCAGTATGCTAAAGAGACTCGAACTATCTCTCGTTTCATCCCTAGTGTGATTTTAGGAAGATGTTCATCCTTTATGTATTGGTGGAAAATGAGGCTTTTTTTTCATCCTTTGATTTGTTCAAATGAGGTGTTCATCCCTAATGAGATTCTAGGGAGGTGTTCATCCTTAGTAGAATTATAATGAGGTGATTCTCTTTTGAATTAGTTTGCAAATATTAAATATTTGGTTTTGTTATATAAATAAAATATTCAATTTTTGGTAGTTTAATATTTTTGTGAGCAAATTGAGTCAAGAAGTCACCAAAGTAACTTCTCTTGAATTGGGCAGTTCATGAAAAATATTGAATGTTAGTGTTTGTGTATATTCATGCGAGTATTAGTCGGCCCAAAGGAAGATTAATATTTGGCCGAATTGCATACACACTTGTAATGATAAACATGTGATAATTATAAGGATTTGCTTTGTCGATGATAAATCAATCCAAAGACTCGGTTTGTTGTTGGACGTGCTTTATTGTCAATGTTTGATTATTACAACAAGATACCTCTAGCAGTTAATATTACTGTCCAAAGACTTGATATTGATGGTGCATTGGGTATCTTGAGATGGGTTAAACCACTATTTGAATATATATTATTTATTTTTTATATAATGTGAGCATAATTAGTTTATTTCTCGTGTTCTAAATTCAGCTACAATTGCTTCTGTATCTGCCAATTTAAATTCTGTTCCGGTCCTCAATGGAACAAATTTTAAGGACTGAAAAGAGAACATTGATATTGTTCTTGGTTGCATGGATATGGATTTTGCGTTAAGGACTGAGCAAACCCCTACTCTTACGGATTCAAGTACCTCTGAACAGAAAAGAGATTATGAGAAGTGGGATCGCTCAAATCGCATGAGTCTAATGATCATTAAGCGTGGCATCCCGGAGGTGTTTAGGGGCACTGTTTCTGAAAACATCACAAGTGCCAAAGAATTCCTTGCTGAAATTGAGCAGCGCTTTGCAAAAAGCGATAAGGCGGAGACAAGCACTCTTCTTCAGAACTTGATCTCCATGAAATATCAAGGCAAAGGAAATATCAGGGAATACATTATGAGCATGTCTAATATTGTTTTTAAACTCAAGGCACTAAAGCTTGAACTCTCAGAAGACTTGCTCATTCATTTGGTGTTGATTTCTCTTCTTGCAACGTTTAATCAATTTAAGGTATCTTACAACTGTCAGAAGGATAAATGGTCTCTTAATGAGCTCATTTCACATTGCGTACAAGAAGAGGAAAGACTAAAGCAAGACAAGACAGAAAGTGCTCATTTTTTGCAAGCACCTCCAAGGCTAAGGGCAAAAGAAAGAGATCAGAGGATCTCGAGAAAGAAGGTGCTAAGGGTCCAGAACAAAAGAAACAAACTCAAGAAAACAAATATTTCTTTTGCAATAAGATTGGACACTTAAAGAAGAAATGTGCTAAATATCATGTTTGGCGTGAAAAGAAAGGGTTGCCTAAACTACCGGAAGCCAATTGATTCTGAAAGATGGATTTATGTTGGAGATGACAAATCGGTAGAGGTGGAAACTATAAGTCATTTTAAATTATTATTAAGTACTAATTTTTTATTTGGATTTGAAAGACACTTTTGTTATGCCGTCATTTAGACGGAATTTGGTTTCAGTTTCTTATTTGGACAAATTAGGTTATTTATGTTCATTTGGAAACAATAAGTTCAGTTTGTCTTTTAATTCAGATATTGTTGGAACTGGTTCACTTTTAATTTATGATAATCATTATTTACTTGATATTGTGGCCACCTATAATGAAACCCTTAATGCAGAATCATGTGGTACTAAACGTAAAATTGAAAATACTCACTCAAGTGCATTATGGCACAAGTGCTCAGGTAACATCAAATTGTAACGTTTGGGCTTATGTTACACTCTTAAAGATATGGTAGAGAGTATGATTTGTCATTCCACCTTACTGGAATCACTTTGGGGAGAGACACTAAATATGACAGCTTATATTCTAAACAGAGTACCAACTAAAGCAGCTACCAAAACACCTTATGAGCTTTGGATTGGGCGACAACTTAGTCTGAAACATTTCCATGTGTGGGATTGTCCAGTTGAGGCAAGACCTTATAAGTCAAATGAAAAGAAATTGGACTCCCGAACAGTAAGTGGTTATATTATTGGTTATGTTGAAAGATCCAGGGGATATAAATTTTATGATCCCACATTAAAGACATTTTTTGAGACGGGAACTGCTACGTTCTTTGAGGATATTAAGTTTGGGGGGAAGAATAAGATTAAGAACTTCATCTTGGAGGAAGAATCGGTAACAATTTCAGAACCAATTCAAATAGTTACTTTTGATAAAGTAAGTTCGGAACCTCCACAAGGCATTGTTGATGAACCCCTTACTCAAGATGATTTGGTTGTTCATGAAGAACAAACTCAAGATCCTCAAGAACCTGTGCATCATGAGCTAATAACTTTGCAGAGATCCACTAGAGAAAGAAGAAGTGTTATTTCGGATGATTACATGGTATTTCTTCAGGAACATGAGGAAAATAATGATATAATGGAAGATGATCCAGTTAACTTCCGTCAAGCTATATAAGGTTCTAAATCTCAAAAGTGGATTGAAGCAATAGGATAAGTATAAGTTCATGCAAGACAATAAGGTTATTGGGAACTTGTCCCATTACCAGAAGGTATGAAACTCATTTGGCTTCAAGATGAATATTGTTGATGATTGTATGTATCACAAGTTTAAAGGGAGACAAGTTTAGTCTCAATCAGTGCCCAAAGGGAATTTGGAAATTGAGGAAATGCAAAAGATTCCCTATGCATCAGTTGTAGGGAGTTTGATCTATGCCCAAGTATGTACGCATCCAGACATAGCATATATAGTTGGGGTTTAAGGCAGATATTTAAGCAATCCAGG